CATAAAAGTTATTTGAAAAATTGATAACTTTAAATTACTTTAAAGCTATATCACCACCAAACAAATAATGCCCTACTCTTTAATTAACCTCCAGTTGAGGGTAAATATCGCATGGATAGATGGTAATTTCTCTAGAATAGAGTATCAAATGCTTTGGAATCATTGAGTTTCTTTTTGAAATATACTAACAATAAAAATTAACAAACCACATTTTTATACAACTAAGCAATGGAAACTATAATACTTGCACAAGACAGAAACAGACTGCTATTTATATAGCATATAGGGTCCTACAATACTAGGCTAAATTACTTCCACATAAATCCCTTTCAAATCTAGACAGGTTCACTTTCTTGGCTCAAGGCATACAATCTGTGCAGAAGAGATAATTCTAGAAAAGTGAGGGACAAAATTGTATGGTGTTGCAGAATAAAGTTTTAATCAAATGATAATTCATGACTGGCAATTACCAGCAATTTTAATGTTTAGATTAACCTGGAAATTGTTGAAAGTCAACGAAATAGTTATCTTTCTAAAAAAATAAGTTGAATTCAGGACCCTCCCTTGTGGCACAATGGGTTAGGAACAGCACAGCTGCTTCAACCTGAGTTTGACCCCTGGCCCCACGGTGATCCACATGGTGCAGCAAACCTCTCCTGTCTCACTCCCTGCTCCCCTCCGCAGTGTACTTCATGGATCTGCCTATTCTGCTCCCCACTCTGTCTCTGGTGAATCCTCTCACCATCCCTTCTCCTCTGTCCTGTACACCAGTTCTGTATGCATAAATAAATAACTCTTAAAAAAAAAACAAGAAAAAAAAAAGAAGGTAAATTCATACTCATAAGTCAGGGCTGTTATGAACCTTATGAATAATGAATGTAAACTATAAGTATAGTGTCTGAGACCATTCAACAATTGCTAGCTGCTATCTACTACTATTAATAGTTAAAAGGTTCTAAAAGCTATTCAGAATGTTATTTTCTTTTCCTATTAACATTGTAAATATCATTAAACTCCCTAGCAATTCAATTTTCCCAAACTAGAACACATACATATACAACTTCTAACCTTTAGCTCTGTAGAGGCAGAAGCTAATTTTGCTTCTGTTAATGCTTTCAACTGTTGATAGTGTACTGGCTTATATTTGATGCTTCTTATTCCATTTGTCATATGGATAGCCAGATTATCTGTTTTTCATCAAAAATAGAAAATGACAAAGAAATAGCATGTTATTGGAAGTCAAAAATATGGAAACCATCTTTAGAAACTTTTAAAACATGCAATTGTTTGCATAGCATTACTTCTAGTGAGCATAAAATATTTTAATATATTTCCATTTAAGTTAGCATATTAAGAATTTCAAAAATTCATAATGCCAAGATACCAAGTGTCACCCACCACTTGTAAGCCATTCTTATTTAAAATGTGTTAGAAATAAACTTCAAAAAACTTAAGAATTACATTATTATGAATCAATATAAAAATAATTTTTATGAAATAGTTGCATTCCTAATTAGAAAAAAATCAAAATAATTTCAATTAAACTTGAAAAACACTGAAATTGAAAGCTAAAAAATTAATAGACCAAAAAGGCTAATAACATTATATAAAATGTTTAGGCCATCTCCATTCACAAACAAAAAAAAAATCCTAGTTGTATATGATATTGTCTTGATAAAGTAAAATATAGGAGGTATTCTAAGGCAGTAGCATAAAGTACAGTAACCTCAGTAATTCAAGTAAAATATTTACTTTTGCCTCAATTGTATGAATAATTAATCTGCGCCACATAAAGTAATTAAGGCTTATCAATTCTATCATGGATCAGATGAACAATGGGAGGTTTCTTTCACTTAAAGTCTCTAAGGACAAGAACAGTGAAGGGAAACAAGGCTGGCCTGGCTCCTGTTGAAGATTAAAACACTAGTTGAAAGATTAAAATCCTCAATAGGACCCTCCCGGGTCGTGCAATGGGTTGAAGCACAATACTATGAAGCAATCCACAGCCACTATAGCATGAGTTTGATTCCTGGGCAGGGAATTAAACTTGGTGGTGTGGCATACCTCTCCTGGCCTGCCAGCCATTCCCCTCAGCAGTGTATTTCAGTATATCTGTCTGTTCTGCTCCCCACTCTGTCTCTGGTAACTCCTCTCACCACCCCTATGACTCTGGCCTGTTCCCCAGTTCTGTATGCATAAACAAAATAAATCTTCAATAGGCCACCAAATAAGTTTTCATTACTAAAATTTTGCAAACCAACATGTAAATTACATATAAAATGTAAATCATAAAACAGATCTGGAAATAAAAAAAGTACCTGTGCTATTGTTTTTCTTAATTGTTAAGAATGGTTGGTCTCTTTTATCCATGTTTATCATCTGTCAAGGAAAAGAGACAGTTAAAACCTCACAATATGTTTTAAAGATATGTTAGTTATACTGCTTTCTTTCTAATTACATGTTTTTTTGAAAATAGTGTTTTTCCTTTCTATTGAAGTTATATCAGTTTACAGCACATTTTCAGTTACACATTTCTCATGTCAGCAACTATGTATTTCACCCCATACCCACCACCAAGTGCCCATTCACCATCCACCATCAAGCAATTCCTTCTCTCTTTTTCCTCTGGTAACCACCACTTGTTGTTAAGAGTCTGGTTCTGGTTTTAATTTTGTTGTTTGGTTGCTCTACTATTCTTTATATTCCACAAATGACATAAAATAAGGTCAAGTTCTGGGTACCATAATTATTTCCATTTTATTAAAATTCACTTTTCTCTTCAAAGTCATTCTGTTTTCCTTCTCTTCTTTCCTGTTGTAATTCTTTCTTCCATTCTCTTACCTCTTAATTCCTGTCTCTTATATTGTCACAATGACAGATAAATACCTTGTTATTAAAAAAAATACACAAACATTGGTGTGCTTTATCTTGAGTTCATAAGAGGAAAGAAACTATATAAATCAAAGAAGTAGTCAGCAAGCCAAATTACTCTTTGTTTCTATAAAGCAATATAGTCTTTCTGATGGACAGAGATGTGCCATCTACTTCTAGAAAGCACATTATGCTGTCACCTATTCAGAGTGGGACTCAGCTGCAGAGAGCAGTCTTGTCCAAAGGTACACCACTGCTGGAGCAGCCTACATCATGTACCTGAGCAAGGGGGGTGGGGTGCAAAGGCCCAATGTGAGATCTGATGGGCAATTTTTGCTCCAGAGCTCTGTGCTGGGTTGGTCCAGACTTTGTTGAACCTATCACAGGACTGAATCCTTCATCTGCCCAAATTTTCCAATTCTTTCCTTTTATAGTATGAATCCCTGATAAATATTTTGTGCCATGAACTTTGCCTCACCATCTACTTTCCATGAATGCAACCTGCAATAGCACTGAACTAGACTGACATATTTCAGAACACATCACCTCCAGGGCAGACAGATGAGTTAAGTGGCACATAAAGGAAGAGTACCTACTTTTCATAAGGTTTGTGTTTTATATCCACTGGGTTGAACTATCTAAGTCTAATGGCTTTGTCATAATCTAAATCTTTTTAAATAGAAATGCAAGTTTAAGCACAAATCTGTGGCTTTTGGAAACTCCACCAAGTAGCCAAGAATCATGGTCAATGCTCACCAACTTTAGAAATACAGTTATATAAACCCCAGTATATAATTTGTATAGATTTCATTGGTTAAGGTATTCTGGTTTCAAGCATCTTATAACATTGACAATCCTCCCAAGAATAGGATTTTTACTGACACCCACATCTTATTGCTTAAGATCCTTTTCAATGTATATCCTTGATGTCCACCTGCAGTGTCTCCAGTCACCATTACCTCCTGCCACGATGACCATAGCAGTTCTACTTTGAGCCCTTAAAACCCATTTCCTGGATACTAGACTAACACATCTATTAAAAACTCTAGCCTAGGGCCCTCCCTGGTGGCGCAGGAGGTTAAAGCACAGCACTGAGAAACTAAAGCCACTTCTGCATGAGTTCAATTGCCATCTGCCCCAGAGGTGACCCACATGGCACGACAGACCTCTCCTGACCCACCTGCTGCTCCCCTCAGCAGTGTACTTCATCTGTCTGCCTGTTCTATTCCCCACTCTGTCTTTGGTGAATCCTCTCACCGCCCCTGCATCTCTGGCCTGTACCAATTCTGTGTGCATAAATAAATAAATCTTTAAAAAAAAACAAAAAACAAAAAAACAAAACTCTAGCCTTACTGCTTGATTCATTTTGGTGGCTTCCACTACTGTTTAAAATGGTATCCAAACTTTTTTTAAATGACCTCATGACCTTACCTTTGTTCATCTCTCCACCTCGTTTATCTTCCCACTATACTGATATTTGTATTTCACAAATATAAAATTTTTCTGTTTTAAGTCCCTCCCACGGCTGTTCCCTCTGTCTTAAAGACAGTTCTTTCCCCTTTTAACTGGGTTTCCTACTATGTCCTCAACTTGACCAAAACACTGACCTCTGCAGAAAGAACTAACCAGACATCTCCAGCAAGGGAGGACCCTTGTTTCTGTCACTATACCCCACTCCTTTCCATGATAATTTGCATCAGCATGTTCACTGACTTGATGTCTGCTCCCTAAGTAGATATGTGGTTGATGTTTTTCTAATACATGACTGCAATCTCTAGTGCCTAGTAAGAATAATAAGTTCTCAATAATTATTATTTGATGACATAAATGAAATGTAGCTGGCATTAACTGGATGTCTTCTAGCCATACAGAAGAACTGCAATAACAATTCCTAAGTCCATACCAAATCCTCCCATCCTAACAATAATCTTTCAATTTTGTAAAAAATCTGCTTTGATAGCACAATCTTCTGTCAAGAATAGCAAATATAAATGCCTTCAGGGCCCATTAGGTAAATTAATTGAGAGAAGTGACAAGGTACACAACCATAGGAAAAGCAGAAAACAGAATATTGAACTCAAAGATAATCAAATACATTTTTGAAGCTAGTTACTAGACAAATAAAACAGGTCTCCAAAACAAATCTCTTCTGTGTTCAGCAAGCAGTTCATCATCTCTGGTCTACTGCATCTAGTCTCTAGTTTTCATTTCATTTGCCCAGCCTTAAGTGTCCAAACTGATAACCTCCATTCAGGAGAGATCAGTCTGTAATTGATTAACTTTAGTCTTACCTAAAAGATCCCAGCCCCTTGAGAATTAAGGCTTGTTTTATTGGGTGTGTAGATTCGAGACTAAGATCCTGAGACAAATGGGGCTTTGCAGATTCCCTTCAGTTACCTTGCTCTAGCCCTGTTTTGTTTGTCCCTCTTGGTTTTCACAGGGAAGTTTTGAAGCCCACACAATACTTCTTGCCATCTCTACATAGTTCTCATTCTCATTATGGCCATACGACATACTAGAATACATTCTGGTAATCAAATTGCAAACAAAAACTAATCTGTTTTCATTAACTTGAAACATAGCTTAGTTCCAACTACTTGGAAGACCAAGTAGGAGCATTTCTTGACCTAGATACTTGAAAATGTTTTATATAAATCATACATAATTACCACTCACCCTTTAAGAATGCCGAGGGCCTCTGAACTAAGGAATTATTAAGCAGAGACATTATATAACTGACTTACTTTTAATGTTTCTTATGTCAGAGAATTAAACAGATATTCAGATTTAGAATCCGAAGCATTCACACTTAGTCTAACATCTCATTTTAGCATGTGAGATGGTTGAAACCCAGAAAAATTATCTATATGACAGGGAACTTCAGGCACAAAATCTCATAATCACAGTGCAAAAAATCTCTGAAGGTTTACATCACAATCAGCTTGGTGGCCAAATCCAAACTAAGCTGAAATCATTAGGGAGTAAACTTGAGTCAAGCTGAAGGTGACCCTATTTAACATGAATATTCAGAAGAACCCTTAAAAAAGGAAGGGAGAGGAACTAAAGTCACTTAAGGAGATAGAATACCAGATGCAGAGATCAGAGCCAAGAAAAAATTAAAATGCTACCCTGATGACTTTGACAATGATGGAATGGAGCTATGACTGGAGAAAAGCTGGCGACTTCTAGAAACAGGAAAGGTGGGGCAATAGATTCTCTCCAGAGAGCCTCCAGAAGGCATGCAACCTTTAAAATGTTAATTTTCTTGTGAGGATATTGTTTTATGGAATAAACTTCCCCCCCCAAAAAAATG